TCAGCATCATCCACCTCATCTTCATCAAGCTCCAGTTCCTCCTCCTCTTCCACCACGGACGAAGACTCCTCTTGTAGCTCAGATGAGGAGGCGGCTGATGCCCAGCCAAGCTCCTCAGTCCAGCAGGCTCTCCCTCCGAAGCAGACCAAGCAGGCAGGAAAATCCCGTGTGTCTTCTCACCCGCAAGGCCAGAAGCCGCTGCCGCCGCAGCAACAGCCGCAGCAGAAGCAACCGCAGAGCAGCAACAAGAGCAGGCCCAAAAAGCGGGAGGGGATCCATCTGCCCACCACCAAGGAGCTTGCCAAACGGCAGCGGCTGCCTTCGGTCGAAAACAGGCCCAAGATTGCTGCCTTCCTCCCTGCACGGCAGCTTTGGAAGTGGTTTGGCAAACCCACCCAGGTGAGCGCGGCCCTATGGCTTGTTCTTTTGGCTCGTGACCTCTGTGTTTTTCTAATCCCCATCACCTTTCTACTCTGCCTCCTCTCCTGCCAAGCCAGCAGTTTCATCCCCACCCTCTTCCTGGCTGGCGAAGGCATCCCCTGGTGGTGAGTTTTGGTGCATTCCCAGCTTGGTTTGTTACCGGGGTTACTCCAGGCAGGCAGGCAGTCAGGAAGATCAAAAACGTTTCAGGCAGATTTACAGCAGACATCTGGAAAGATCCTCCAGCAGCAGCTGAGGTGCATCTGTTGGGACTGTCCGGCCCCTCTGTCTGTGAGCATTGGCTCCTAGCTGTACTGAAACCATAAACAGATACACTATCTTTTGGTGTGTTGAGGCCTTTAAGTTTGGCGCTGTTGGTTTGTTTCTGGGGGAGTGGACACCCCACTGAAATCAGGTCACTATATACTCCCCACTCCCTTCTCACTAAGGGGCTCTCCGGTCATCCTTTAACCATTCGCTTTCTTTTGTGACGTTTTCCGCTGTGTCACTTGCACTCTGGCCAGGAAAGGATAAATGTCTGCCAACATTGCTGTTCTCTTTGTTGGCCAGCAGGGGGTGATTAAAAGGGGGCAACTCGGTGTCTTTTCCAAGGTAACATGCCTCGTCTGGACCCACTCACTGTAGAGGTGTCCTTGGGTTGCTTTGCCATACCATTGGGCTGACCCAACAAGAAAGCATAACTGCTAGTGCTCTAATTATTCGTAGTGGGATGCAGGCAGGGAGCGCAAGCTATCCCAGAGTGAGGGGATGAGTGAGACTGGTTTGTACCTAATATTCTGTTCACTCAGCTTTGCGCTCCTAATTTCACAGAGACGAGGAATGAAAGGGAAGGCCAGGAAGCTGTTCTACAAGGCCATTGTCCGTGGCAAGGAGATCATCCGGATTGGAGACTGCGCGGTCTTCTTATCAGCTGGCCGGCCCAACCTACCCTACATCGGCCGGATCCAGAGCATGTGGGAGTCCTGGGGGAACAACATGGTAGTCAGGGTCAAGTGGTTTTACCACCCAGAAGAAACCAACCCTGGAAAAAAGCTCAATGAAGGCAAGGTATGTCAACCCAACACTGCCCACCCTGTTTAATGGCCACGCTGCAAAGCTTTCCTCACACCTTCATCCTGTCGGGGATGGGGTGACTCATAGGTTTTTTACTAAGTGCAAAATATAATTTGTGACCAGCAAAAGGTGAACATGGAGATTCTGTGCGATCAAAGTCGTTGGTGGATGGACGTACCTGGGGTTTCTAAAGCCACTTGAGAGGGAGAAGTGTTTTTTATACTTATAAGACACAACTTGGAAACACAACGAGCCACCTTTCGCATGAGTCCATCAAACTTCTGTTTGTCCCTGGGATGCACAGAGCAAAGTGATATATTCCTGCCGTCTGGCATGTGAAGGATGAGAGGAAGCCCTCGGTGTACGGGAAGGCTGTGTGGGCCTGGTGTTCAGAGGTGCCGAGCACCCACAGCTCCTGTTGGCATCCCTGGGAGCTGCAGCTGCTTGGTCACTCTAAAGATCAGGCTCTGTTTAAGCTGACGACTCAAGGTCAAGATGTAGGCTGTGGGAATGCATATCTTTAACTGATGAGGGAGGTGCCTTTGAAAGGTACTAATTTGCCTGCTTTAACTTTTCTCCCTCTCCATTTCTCCTGGTTGACTGCTCTCGGTGTAGCGTTGGGATCAGAAATCTGGGAGGAGCCTATCTACCACTCTGCAGGCATCCAACCAGAGGAAGGACTTCATGGAGGTAAGACAGGGGTGCAGATGGCAGAAGGCCAGGCCTTGGAGAAGGTTTTGTGATACGTTGTTGACCGCTCTGATCTTATAAGCGGAGCAACAAATGTTAATGAGGTAAAGGCCGTCTGGTCTGGTCCAATTCTATGCTGAGATGAGCATCATCCCCAAGTCCTTGGTTTTGGCAGAGCATTTTACAGAGGGGGAAGGTAGCCTGCAAAGATCCATATGTGACCATCCCCGGATTTCAGTGGTGTTTGGCACCAGCCTTGTCATTCAGGCCCATCTTTGTTTTATTTCATTTAAATTCTGCCAAAATGTCGCCAGACTGATTCTGAGGTTCACAGAGAGGTTAAGAAATATGCAAGATGGCGACCGAGTCAGTGGATTTGATTGAAACTGGGGAAATGTCACACTGTAAAACCCTTCACACAGTTCAATTTGATGGCCTGTCTCACTGTGGGGATGCAGCAAATAAACCTCAAGGTGTCACCTTCTGCATCCCACCATTTTCACTCCCTGTGTGTAGCTCTCAGGTCCTTCTGTGGCATGGGCCACCTAATCTGTAGGAAAGGGGTGTATTCTAAGTGGTGTGGCATGTCCACTAATGACTTGTTTCCTCTCTGTCTCCCCCCCCCATTCCTCTAATGCAGCGGGCACTGTACCAGTCCTCTCATGTGGATGAAAATGATGTCCAGACCATTTCTCATAAGTGTCTGGTGGTTGGTCTGGACCAGTACGAGCAGATGCTAAAGACTAAGAAATACCAGGACAGTGAGGATCTGTACTACCTAGCAGGGACGTATGAGCCCACTACAGGCATGATTTTCAATACAGATGGCGTCCCAGTCATCTGCTGACTGTCTAGGAAGAGGGAATTCAGGGACATGTGCCATCGGCCTGGAGAGTTCCGATTTCCCTTTGGAAGAGGAGCACGGCGAATCTGAGGACATGCTGTTCATTCAACGTGATTTATTTCTTTCCTGCTCGTGACGTCTGTGTCGCACTATGGACAGGTCTTCAAAAGACGAAGAGAGAAAGTTAGGGTGGGGAGTAAGAAACCATAGGACTTTCTGAAGATGCCTTTGGGATAGCATTGGAGATTGGACCCCATCGTTTTCTGGATGAATGGGGTGGTTTTAACTAAGACAAAATTAACCAGCTTCTTCCTTCCCCCTTCTGCTCGTGGAGGGTCAATGATTCTCAGATCCCTGCACCAGCAGAATAACATCAAAACAGAGGAGGCTTCTTTTGGGTTGCTTGACCCCCTGAAAAAGTCAGAGGATGACTGGAAGAACACCTACTAGCCTTCAGGATATCTGCATCTCCTTCCTTATAGCTCCTTCCTTGCTAACTGCACATGCCTTTCTGGGAAGTATGAGGTGGAAGAGAAAGGAGCCGTGTCTCTTTAAGCGCCTCGGCGCAAACAGCAGGCACACCTTTAATCTGCTTCCCTTCCTCTAAGTCTGCTGTCTGGGACCCAATGGAGAGCGGACAGCCAAGCAGGAATGGAGTCACTCGGACACAGAGCTGTTGACTGATGTCCCTTCTGGGTTACAAGGAGTCGGGTAGAAGGAGAGAACAGAATCTCAGTACTCTCATTGAGCAAATTGATTAACTCAGTAGATTCATCCAAAAAAGGAAAAAATGTCTGCAGTGGGGGGTAGGGAGGAAGGGAAAGGGGAGGGCTGTAATCCATGCGGGAGGGTACAGGGGTGGAGTGTAACGAACAAAAATCTCCCTTCAGGAGGTGAAATCAATGGGGAAGTTGCAGCAACCTGCTCAAAACGAGGAAGCCCCTTCTTGTGGCTCAAAGGAGGCCATAGCCCATCACTGCTTTTTCACACAGGTGCAGCACCTCGGCTTTCACATGGAGATGAGGGGCTGCGCTCTCCCTGGGTGTGAGGCTCCTGCAGTTTAAGCAGAAGGACACACAGCTCTCTGCTCAAAAGGAATGAGATGAGAACTGCCCCCAGGAGTTTCCATGCAGGAGATGCATGCTGCATGCCCACAGTGGGGGCCAGAACCAAGCTGTCATTGGGAGCAGGCATTCAGCTTAATGGGTCCATGTGGACAGTCACCCCAGGGCTCATTGAGAGCAGTCAGTCCCCCTCCTCCAAGCAGCCGGCTGACCCATCTCATTCATCTCTCACAGGCCTGAGCCTTCAGCTTTGGCCACTTGCCTTCAAGCAGCTGCTTCAGGTAACCAGGTTTGCAACCCAAAACACCAATACACAGACCTGGCTCTCCGGGCGGCATGCAGGGAGCCAGGGGAGTGGAGCAGAACAAGACCACGGCGCAATGTCCTTGCACTTAACTGAAATCTCACGAGATGCACTGATCTTTGCAACTAACCGATTCGCACTACATATTTCTAGGACACCAAGATTGTTCCAGCATGGATGGGAGCAGAGTGACCCAGCCATCCAGGGGAGAGATACTTACAAGGACAGATTTTTAGCTATCTGACATGGTACTATCTGAGTACTAGAGACTTGCAGCCTCTATGGGAAGAGCAGAGGGGCACCCCCTAAAAGATGATCCCTCATACTTTAAAAGAACCACAATGGTGCTGAACTCCGGCCACCTCTGCTCCAGCCCACGGCTCACCAAGACTTGGTGGATATTAATGTTTCTAAACTGTACAGTTTTAATGTACCAAAAGACTCTAAACCCTTCTGTATTATAAGTCTTTAAATGGATTTGACTTTTTAATTATAAATATAAATATATATATATAAAAATATAAACTTTTTAAAACTGTGAAAAAATTATGAAATTATAAAGAAGAACACAGTCTGACGTTTAGAATATTATTTTTTATTTCCAGTTGGATTGTGAATGTAAATGATCTGGGAACAGGCTCACACAAACAGCCACACACAAAGTGTACTGGACTTATAGAAGCAAAATTGTGTGAGCGAATTTTAAAGAGAGAGAGAGAGAGAGATTTTATGCTAATGTTAAATAGAAAGCACTTACTGCCCAATGCCTTCTATGGAACACAAGGATTTTTCAGACAATCGAGAGGAAAGGAGAGCCAGGTTTTTGTCTTTTGTTTTCTGTTTTTGTTTTTAATTTTTTTTTTTTTTTTTGCATTATGTTTGTTGGAGAATTCCGTGTGACCGTTTTTCATAAAAAAGAAAAAAGTCTATTGGAAAAAATGAAGCATATTTCTTGGTCCTGTTTTTTAGAGTTGTGTGTGGTTTTTTTGTCGTCGTAGTCACCTATCGTCTGCAGATCGGGGACGCGTACTGAGGGAATGTGGGGTCAAGTCCGTCCTGTCGTGTCCCTGTCTTTCTCCCCCCCGCTCCCCCGTCCACCACCACACAATGGCAGCCAGGCCCAGGCGGTGAGTGGAAGGGGTGGGATTGGCCACTGGGTCGCTGCTCTGTTGCAGCAGCTACCTGAGAGAGCCTGGCTGGGGAGGTCGCAGCAGCGGGCCATCAAGTGCATAAAAGATTGTTACAAGGAGGAGAGAGCAAAATTGTTGTTCTTAACCTCTGAGGATAGGACAAGAAGTAACGGGCTTAAATTGCAGCAAGGGCAGTTTAGGTTGGACATTAGGAAAAGCTTCCTAACTGTCAGAGCAGTGAAGCACTGGAATAAATTGAGTAGGGAGGTTGCGGAATCTCCATCTTTGGGAATTTTTAAGAGCAGGTTGGACAAACACCTGTCAGGGATGATCTAGATAATACTTCATCCTGCCTTGAGTGCAGGGGACTGGACTAGATGACCTCTTGAGGGCCCTTCCAGTTCTGTGACTCTGTGATCCCCCTCCCTCCCGGGACAGGGGCAGAGCAAGCCAGAGTGCACCCCCCACCCCCGCATGCTTGGCCCCTGTCACCAGCAGCTGAGCCCAGTCAGGGAGCCGGTTGCTGCTGCCACCCCCCCAGCCAGGCTCTCTCAGGCAGCTGCTGTGGAGCCCAGAGCAGCGACCCTGAGCAGACAGCCTGAGCCAGGGAGAGCGGCTGGCCATGCAGCGGGAGTGGGGTCAGGGCAGGTGCAGTAGGAGGAGGACAGAGCCCCTCCCCCTGACAGGTAACATGGGACGGGCAGAAGGTGGCAGCCCCGGGCTGGGCACAGGGCCGGGGAAGAGGTCACTGGGCAGAGGAGATACATGGGGCAGTCACGTGTCCTCCCTTTTAGATTGTGCACCCTCCCTCCCTGTGTGGGGAGGCACGAGTGAAAGCCCTCCTGCTCTGAACAGTGACTGTTTGCTTGTTTCTGACTTCTTGATCCCATGTGCTCAGTTTGGTGCCACTCCAGGGAAGCGCACGCACATTTGAATCCATCCCTGTTTAGGAAAGTGCTTTATGTATGTGCTTAAGTCCCATGGGCTTCAATGAAAACGAAGCGCATGCTTAAGTGCTTTTCTGAGTCTTTGTGAACAGAGAGAGGTCTCTTCCAACTGCAGACTCAGCCTAGGATCTCAGCCAAGCTGCACTTTTTCCTTCTCTAAACACCATTCATAAAGGTTCTGCGGGCCAAATCATGCCAACAGTTACAGCCAAGCCACTCCGTTGCACAGGTGTGAATGACTGCATCAGTCTGACGGTTTCCTACATTTCAATATGGAACAGAATCCTCAGCTGCCTCCGCGTGGTGTTTTGGATCTGCAGAGGTAAGAGGCAGCAAGAAGCTAGTTTATGCTCTGAATTAGTAAAGCCGTTAAGCATGTACCGGGGGGAGGGATAGCTCAGTGGTTTGAGCATTGGCCTGCTAAACCCAGGGTTGTGAGGTCAATCCTTGAGGGGGACATTTGGGATCTGGGGCAAAAATTGGGGATTGGTCCTGCTTTGAGCAGGGGTTGGACTAGATGACCTCCTGAGGTCCCTTCCAACCCTGAGATTCTGTGATTCTATGTGTCTTAACTGAGGGCGTCTGTTGTATGTGCTGACTCAAATGCACACAGGAGGCCCGGTGCTGAGTGAGGTGGTGCTGTTTTTACTGAGTCACTTGTCCGTGTAGAACTGTGATTTTAACACCAACCAAGGGACCAGCACAGATTGCTTTGCTTGATGGAGATGGAGTTCTCATAAAGATGGCTAAAATTGGGCTCATTGTCTTTGGGGAAATGGGGGTGTGGTATCAACACAGAGTGTCTCCATGTCAGTGTATTTGCTTATGCACTAAGATTTACCACGGAGCAGCTGATAGACCACGGGGTCCTAAACACGGTTGTATATACCTGTATTGGGCCAGCTCAAGACTCATATGCACCCCTCCTAATGCAGCTTCTGGGCCGTGCCCTAAAGCACCCATGCTGTCTGCACTGTAACAGACAATGGAACTTGGGCTGCTCCCAACCTGAGCCCTATGTGCTTGGGAGGAGCCATGCCTGGTAAACGGGCGTAGTTGTCCAGGACCCTGTGCTATTAACTCCTCTTATGGAGGATTTTTGCTCTGCCGTTGGTATTCCATCCCCATCCCTTACTCCCTACACCAAGTGTTGGCTGCTTGTTGCAGGCAGCTGCCATCAACTGAGTCATCACCATCCGGTACCTCTCACTGGACTCAGTCATCTCAAACACCTCTGTGAAAATAGGACCATAGAGAACCCGTGGGCCCAAGCTCTTGGTCGGCTTCCTCTCTCCTCTGCATCTCCAGATGCTACTGGGCAAGCTACCGGGCTTCACCCCCTTGCTATGAGCAATGTCTTGATGGCAGTGGCATGTGGAAACTTGTAGCATCTTGCCAAATTGGATTTTTTTTTCTGCACATGGAAAAGCAGCTATGCCAATGTGTTCTGCATGTAATGTATGGGGGAGGGTAGAGAACACTATGGATTCCCCCCCCCCACCACCACCACCACAACCCCCTACTACTTCACCCCCTTAGCAACTGTTCTGCAGCCCTGGCTTGTTGGAGAGGAGGGCTGGATTGTCCCTGTCATCTCTCTGATTCAGCACAGCCCCCAGACCAGGGTGTCCAACTCTGTTGGGGCCTGGGGGATGAAGTGAAAGTTGTCATTGGCCCCAGGTGGGGAAAGGAGTGAATTAATGTGTCCAGGAAAGGCCAGGCAGAGCCTGGCTTGCTTGGAGCCTCTGCCCTGGGCAGGGGGGGAACAAGGTGAAAGGGGTATTGGGGAAACGGGCATTGGTCCTGCACTGCCCCCAGTCTGGGCTGGGGTGTCTGCTTCCTGGGCTGTTCCTGCAGGAACTGCACGGCTGGACTGTGCTGGGTGCTCCACTATCAGAAATCTGCGGAAAAGCAGAGGGGCTGATGGAGTGCCCCTGGTGGCCCCAACCACCTCCTGGCCAAGGCACAGGTATTTTCAGTACCTGTGATGAGACATGGGGGCTGCACCTCACTGTCCCTTTGCTTTTCCAGGAAGGACAATGGGGTTGTAGCAATTCAGCATGGGAAAAGAACCATTAGCACAGTAACTTCCTGCAGGAGCCAGCTGTAGCCATCTCTAAGAAGCTGCAACTACCAGCCAGCGCTGCATGGATAGGACGAGTCTTCCATGGGGAGCACACAGCCTAGAATGAGACGGGCCAAGGCAGTGGCTGGCGGGGGGGCGCAGGGACAAGGACAGGAGATGTCTGTTAAAATGAGACTGGACAGAAGGGAGGCAGTGGCTTTCCCCTGGTTAAATGTTGGCTGCCTTCAGCATGTAAGCAGCCCTGATTCCCACCCCAGCTGCTCTGGCCAGCTCAGCTAAGCTGTGGCCTTTCAGCTGCAGCTCCCACTAAAATCAATGGCTGCAGGCACCTGAATACTGCAGAGGCTCAGGGACTAGCAACGGTTGCTGGCTGGCTGCTGAGTGTCTCCTCTGGCAGGGGGCCTGCTCTCCGGTGCCTTTTACAAAAAACAGAGTTTATTTGTCAGCAGACACACAACAGCAAAGTGACAACTAAGACAGCAACACAGAGACTGGATGAGGCCCAAAACCCCTCCTGAGAGAGACACGCATTAGAGTCCTTATCTTAGCCCAGCCCACGGCTCTCCGGCCCTGTGGATGCAACAAAGACATTTCAGCAGCACTCTGGGATAAGACGTTCACACACGCACGCACGCCAAGGCGGGAGCCAACCCCAGAGTGAGCCAGGATGCCTCACAAACCACCCTAGGGTGACCAGACAGCAAGTGTGAAAAATTGGAACGGGGGGGGTGGGGTAATAGGAGCCTATATAAGAAAAAGCCCCAAATATCGGGACTGTCCCTATAAAATCAGGACATCTGGTCACCCTAAACCACCCTACGTGTTCAAGGGAACCTGATAGCAGCTGGGCTGAGACATGATGCTGCTTCTATCCTGCTATGTAGTGAGTATCCCCTTAATTGCCTATCTAGCTTGGCCCAGGGTGGGCGGAAAAGAGCATACTGAAAGGTGCCAATCTCATATTGTGGCTTGGCATTAATGTAGCCCTACGTTTATGGACACACACACTGGACAAGCAGAGATGGGAGGCTGCACGTGCCACTAAACAGTCATATTGCACCTGTAAATCCTGCCATTCAAACACGCGATTTGGCTTTGATAAGCTGTTACAGGCTACAAAACGGCATTGCTCAGCCAGCCCAGACCATGTTTGCTTAGTTGCAAACCATGTATTAGTGAAGCAGCTTGTATGTGTCACATGACTGGCTCCTTCACACAATGCCACTTTATTTGTCTTTTCTGCAACTCCCCAAATCACCTATTTCAGCTGAGATATTCAACGCTCCTGCAGGGAGAGGCTACGGAAAGGCAGCTGGGAATTGTGTGTCCAGTTCCCCTCCGGGACTGCAAATTTCAGCCTTCTCTTGCAGGCTGCACCATGGCATTTAAATGCACAGTTGAGCCCAGTCTTAAAGTTTTTTATAATGGGTGTTGGTGGGGTGGACAGACATAAATTGCATGCTAGGCTTTTCCTGGAGCTGACCAGGGCCCATCATCACTGCAAAGAAGATCACGAGAGACCCAGACTCATTCTAACACATTTTAGGCTCCCTTCCATCGATGGGCCAAGCGCTGAGCAAATCTCGCCAAAGGCGACCGGTCACCCCGATTAAAACAGAACAGGCATTTGCTTTGCCCATGTTTAGACCGTGTTTTACAGCTGCTTTCCATGCCATGCTAGCAAAGGCGTTTGCTGACAGGCCAGACACTTTCAATCAAATATTGCAGGCTAGTCAAAGGCAGTGGCTTTTTGAACGGGAACTGTGAAGAGTTGCACCCAAGCCCTTCTCATCCAGGGCGGGAACACCACAAACACTAGTGTCTCCCTGGGTTGGCCAATCAGAATGAACTAAGAGACCCGCCCCCACCTCCCCCCTCCCCCATATGTCAAATACACGCCCGCAATGGTTGCTGGACAAGCTACAGGACAGAGTGAATAATTTACGACAGCAAATCGGTTTGAGAAAATGGCAGCGGGAGGCGAGGGTAAACGGCCTGATTAGCTCCTACGCACTCAGCTCTTGTTAGACCCATGCTCGCATTCTGTAACGACCCAGCACGGGCCAGGGTGAGCGCATGGCCCACTGACATCTATGGTGTTGTAAGCGCTCCATTGCTGAGATCATATCTGCAGGGTCGGCGGAAACAGAGCCTGCCTGGATGCCTGTCCAACAAGCCGTGTGTGTCCCGCCAGTTGGAGTGCAGCACAGAAGGGCTGAGGCTGGTCACCTGTGCTCATCGGGCATGGCCTTTCCCCTGGAAGAGGCAAAGGAAACAGGCAAGACATTGTCGTCGTCCCCCACAAAAAAATGGGGGGGGGGGTTGTGTGTGCAAGTAGTTTGACAAAGGCTTGAACCTGCTGTGGCAAGTGAGGGTCTAGTACACGAGGCCTGGCCGAGCGCGTGTTCAAAACTGTGGTCTAGTTCCGGTCCCTGCCCGGGGTAGCGTATGGTGGCACCATCACCGTTTGGCCCCATCCACCCCGGCTGCCAGATTAGCAGCCCGTGTTGCCATGGCAGTTTACGCTGCGCATCCACTGGTGTTAACGGCCCCGCAGCCACAGGGGTGAGGGTCACCGCCTTCCACCCACGCCAGGCCCATAAGTCGCGGTCTTATTTCTTGTGCCACAGGCCTCAGCTACACTGGGCTGTCGCGCTCGTGCACGGTGGTCACAGCGGGGTTAAATCCCAGTTAGGTCGTGAAAGGCAGCTGGGAAAGCACAGCGGGGCAACCAGCTTTGGGCATCAGCATGGCTCGCAGTTGTGCGGCATGGGCTGGAGGGCACAGACAGGTAAAGTGGAAGGTAACGGCTCAGAGGCCAGTAGCGGACATGTGCACCTACACAGCACTGTTCCTGGGCTTTGGCGGCCTGATAAAACGTATGTTTGGCAAATAGCCTCCTCTGTCCAGTTCTTTAAATAACACTCTTAGCAGCTAAGAGGCATGGGCCTCTCTGCAGTGCAAAAAAGAGCCATGATGGGCTTTGCCCTTGCTATATCTGTGGCCTCTGTGTAGGGTGGGGCGCAGAGTCCCTATACACCACAGTTGAACCTATGCTTAGCAACTACCCACGATGCTCACTCCAAGACAGTGCTTGCAGGTGCCCTGATCAATGTACATGAACCCATCCAATTGGGCGCCCACCCAGAGTTCCTCCCACACGGTTGTTCACCAGAAGAGGAGCAAATGGGACAATGAGAGGGGAAAGGGTGAGCGCCTGGCCATCTTGCTGTACCCGTTCCTGCTGAGCACAAAGTGATGACAGGCCAGTACTAACTGCTCTCTGCCACCAGCATTCACAACCGGCTCAGCCTGAGCCCCTGACCAGCCCTGTGGCCAATCTAGAGCCTTGGTGTCATAGCCCCCCCCCCCCCCCCCGGCTCTTGCTGCTGACTGATGGTGCGTCATCTTTGACGCCAGTGGTTTGGAAGAAGGGAGATCCGGCTGCTGTCGCTGTGAAGGGCTGATTGGCCAGGACCAGCAACCATGTTGCGTTGCAGTGGTCATGGCTTTGCTACAATATGAAATCGCGCTCTCCACCGATATAAACCTGGTCCCGCTGCATAGGGACGAACACACTGGAGGCAGCTCGGCCTGTTCTGAAAGGGTTAGGTAGCACAACATGTGACTGACTCTACTCAGGAGGGGTCAGATGGATGGAGCAGAATTAAGTAGTTGGTTTCCCCTCTCCTCCCCACCCCCCCCCTCACAAACACTGGTCCGATCATGATCTTCCCATGCACGAATCAGCAGGCTGGGGCCCTCACTGAATTTGCCTTGGCTGGTGCAAGAGTCTGGGGGAGCTGTGGACCCTGGAAGCCACTGCTCTTGATGACGTGCTAGCAACATGGCCCCCCCAGCAGCAGGTATCGGCGTAGGGCAGATCATGGGGGCAATGCCATGGGTGTGGCGCTGTCTCCTCCTCTGCTGCCCTTCTGCAGCCATCTGCACAGGACGTGAGGGAGCTGAGAACAGAGGGGCACATCCACATGCTGGCCCATTTGAGTTGATCGCCCAGAAATGGCTCCAAACAACTGCCCTGGCCCTGGCAGACTAAGCCTAGCCACGTTCTAGTTCGGGGCTGGTCAACCCTGGCTTGGGAAGCTGTGTTAATCATGCTCTGTGCCCCTACAGCAGCATCCAGTGTTTTACAAATACTTCTGGGAATTAACCGCCCCATCCCCAGTGAATGTACTCTCAGCGGCTCCATTTCACAACTGAGGAAACTGAGGCCGTGAGCAATGTGAAGGGACTTGCCCAGGGGACCAGTGGCAGAGCTGGGCAGGCCTCTGATCTGACCATCCTCTGATGGCTAGACCACTCTCCAGCAGCCTCTTCCTGGGAAGAACAGGGTTTAAAACCAGCCCCGGCGAATTCATTTCCCTACTTACTTAGCCTGACTCCAACTCTCAGCTCCTCTGATTCACCAGCTGTCCCTGCAACAAAGCTGGGCTGCTCTGAGTGTGAGTGTGTTTGCTGCCCGGTCCCTCCGCTCAGCGTGTCTGCCCTGCTTTAGCGCACAGGCGGCCATGAGCAAGGTTCTTTTGCAGCGCACCTCTCTCCCGCTCACAGAAGAGACCGCCCAGGCCCAGCTGAGAGGCGGGGGTTGGCGGGTGGAAATGGAGCCATGTGCTTGTATTCCCTACACCACCACGTACTTTTTGGCCGCATCGCTGACTCTGGACAATTGACACGATGCCAAATATTTTATTATTTCTTGAAAATGTATTGATTTCCTTCGCAGCAAATAGGACGGCAAATGAGTCTGGCATGGCTGACACACAACACGAGAGCTATTTGGGGAGGAAAGGTGACAGCTCGGCCATTCCTGGACCAGTTTTCGGGTGCTAGCATAAGAAGGGACCTGATGTCACACCCACTCCAGGCCCAACCTTCCGCTAGGTTTTGATTCAGGCCCTTGGAGCAGGGCCAGCTTGACGTCCCTCAGCGTGTGGGGAAGGTGGTTTGGGTTGGGAGGCGCTCTGAAGACAAGCCAGGCCCCACCGATCCATCGGAGACTCAAGCAGCTCTTCAGAGCACAACTCTCGTGAAACAAGGCAAGCCCAGTCTGTGGCTACTTCGTCGCTAGTGCTCTTCTTAAAAAAAACCGTTCCACCTCGGTCATGGGCTCAGGGCTAGTTTGCCTAACGTGCCTGGCTCCCGATAGCTACCAGGCAGCCTGGCTCCTGACCGTTCCCCCGCCGGCTCACCCCAACAAGGCAGCCAGAGGTTGGCTGGCAGGCTGCATCCTCGCTGCATTAGGAGCGGTTGACATGGCTCATTTGCGGTCCATCAGCCAGCTCAGCACCGAGGACGTTTTGTTCAAGCTAGTGCTCGATTCTGTGGGAGCACACGATGCTGGCAGACAAATGTTGCTAGGTTACACAGAAGGGAGGACTAGGCCCTTCCACTGCAGGAGAAATTCTCTGGTCTGTGCTATGCAGTCGGTCGGCCACCCTAGAATATAATAATCCCTTCTGGCCTTACACTCTATGACTCTGAATAGACAGCAGGGAAGAGGCCAGGAAAGGCTGGCAAGGAACCATTAGCTGCAAAATACTAGCCATGATCATGAACAAGGCTTTGTGGCCATGACTAAAGTCACATGGCTTTGAGACTGCAGGCCCTGGCCACTTAGGATATGTCTACATTGCAATTAAAATCCCGCAGCTGGCCCATGCCGGCCGATTTGGGCTCGCAGGGCTCGGGCTGTGGGGCTGTTTAATTGCAGTGTAGTCGTCCACATTTGGCCTGGAGCCCAATCTCCACGAAGTGGGAGGGTCCCAGAGCTTGGGGTACAGCCTGAGCCGGAACGTCTACACTGCAATTAAACAGCCCAGCAGCCCAAGCCTGTGAGCCCGAGTCAGCTGGCAGTGGCCAGCCGCAGGGTATGTCTAACTGCAGTGTAGACGGACACAAATGCAGCCTGTGATCACCCTTGCACTGTAACTGCAGGGGATGACCAAAGCTCAGGACCGTGACTCGATGACTTTGTTTAATGGTTAGTTTCACTGCCGGTGACAACCGATCAGGTATTTCTAGTCAACTGGAAGGGTGACCCAGGTGCAAGCAGACACACCTGTGCTTGGTTTGATTGCCCTAAGGAAAAATCTATTGAGTTCCCCATAAATCACTTATACAGCAGCTCTGTATTAAAAAAAAAAGGAATATGACATCCTCTAAAATAGAGTTAACATATTACAAAATGAGCTACGGTCATTTATAAAATTTATGGAGCAAGCAGCTAAGTGAGAGTGTGTGTGTGTGTGTGTGTCTCTCAGTATTTGTCTGTTATCATGTACTTTACGATCTAGTCCAAAGATCACAAACTGGCCAGTGTGACACCGTCTCTCTACTTTATATAATCATGCCTGTACTTTGCAGCTCTGGCCAATGCAGGATCATCAGGCAGATAACAGAACTCAGTGGCCCATACGATGCTCTCCCTGGACTCAGTGATAAGTTATTGAAAGAGGAGACGGGGAACACCTGCAACACCACTGAGCATTCAAAACTCATGGAGCAGGCTCCTAAAAATCATAAGAAAGGTTTAAAAATCATGAGATTTTTAGAAATATAATAAAATTTGGGTTCTTTTTATTTGCCTTCAGGGATTTGGGAGTTCAGGTTTTCAGGTCTGTCTCTACAACCAGGAGCGCTAGAAATTTACAGTGTTTGAATTAAAGCTGAGGTTTCTACTTCAGGAGCTGGGGGCTTTATGAAGAACATCAACTGCCAGGAGCCTTGCAAAAGTATGCAACTTGGAGTTGCAATTTACAAGGCAAAAACACTACACCCATTTCAAGTCACCTTAATCGCTTATGCAGGACTGAAGCAAGCCTTGATTGGGGCACAACCTCTGTGCCTCTCTAGGGCCCTGCACATTCAACAGAGAGGCAGTTTTAGTCACTGGGATGGTCTTTTATGGGGAGGTGTCAACAGTGGGACTAGGTCATGTGGGCCCCACATGAGCTCTGTGCTAGTTGAGATGAAGAAGCCACTCCATCCTAGTCTCTAGTGATGGTTCTGTTCCCCACCCCACCCTCCTTAACTCCTGACACTGTCCCGTGGACCAGAGTGGAACGGTCACTGAGCACGTGCCTTGCTCTGGGGGGGTGGAACAAAGAGGGGGAATGGGAGAGCTAATCCCTTGGGTCTTTCAGGGTGGGTGACAGGTGGAGCAACTGTGACTCCATTTCAGGGTGACACCCACTGTCACCCCCAAACTTCTGTGCCATTGCTAAAGCCAGTGACGACTCACGGCAAACACCCCTTGGCCCTGCCTGTGGCCAGCTTGCAGGCCTGAGGAAGGCTCCAGCCTTTCAGCCCATCAAGCCAGGGGCCTGGAAGGGGGATTAATATTTCAGGGATCAGATTTTGGGTAGGGTGGGAACGGATTAATAAATACAGGACAGATCATTCCCATTCTCCTCTCCTCCCCAGCCCAAGGGCAGGAATTCCAAGTCCATCACCACACTGGGGAGGCTGGAAAAGGAAGAAGTGAAATTTCGAGACGGCTCAGTCTGCACTAGGAAACTGCCTGGCCATCAATCCCTGCCCAGAGGTGAGCGCAGTGGTGGAAGCTGCAGTGTGGAGAGGACACTGGGGCTTTTGCCTGCTTATCACCCACCCCTACTTCAGCATTTGCTAGTGTAGACAACACCACTTGCAAACTGTACCAGCCACGAGTGTAGACAGATCCCCAAGGACAGCAGAGCAGCTGCTCCTAGGTTCCATTCAGCTCAGCTCAGGACCAGTCCTTCTCTTGGGAAGGGGCACACCCCCTCCAGCGTTACACTCCCAGGGCCCCGGTAACAAACACCGGGCAGATCAGCTGTGGTGCCTGCTATTGATAACTCCTTCCCTACTCCTACCCCATTGAGGCCAGTGTGGGTTTGGCCAGTGATTACAATACAATGTCTCACTCTAACGGAGCATCTCTCTGTCACTGCAGGTCTTTTGCCCTCCTCCCGCCCTCCATCAGGCTCTCTCTCTCTCTCTCTCTCTCTCCTGCTTTCTTCCGCCCCTCTATCACCACCCCCTCTCCTTGCAATCTGTCTCCCCACTTTCCCTTCATCTCCTCTTTGCATCTCCCTGGCACACACACTCAGTCTTGGGTTTACACCTGCCACGTGGCGGGCGCACGCTGGGGCGCTGTGTGAGTTGCGAGGCAGCAGGACGGTGCTGGGCGGTGGCGTGTGCTGCAAAGCGGCTGCGTGAGGGGTGTGACGACCAAGAGGCTGGACGGTAGGATGGTGGTGGGATATGTAGAGGTGGTATAGCCAAGGGGTTCATTTTACGGCTGGCATTTGTATCGCAGAGCCGAAGACCACCACAAACGTCTGACACAAACGCCATCACGCTCCCACCAGTATCAGCACCCTGTCCTTTGTCTACACATGCTCTCTGGGTCAGGGTGGGTGGAAACACCCCACACCCTTGTACAAAATCAGGGACCTACACCCCAGGAGTCTCCGCCCCGCTCTACCCTGCGGGGTGAAATGCTAAGGCATGGGGTGCAGTGGCCGGACAATCCCCACTGCTCTGTCCCCCAAGGAGCTGGAGCCCCTCCAGTCATGAGAAACAGCTCCATGACAGTGCCACATACCAGCTGGACTTCCTAATGCAGAGCTTCACCGCAATTCACTCCCCACCCTGGAGTCACCTGGGAACAGCCAAGGGGATAACATCCCAGCCTAGAGACACGGCTGGCTGGAAAATCCCAGGGCCAAGCTTATCCCTGGTTTAACACCCTGGACTTCAGTGGTGTTACACCAGGGATGCGCTAGGCCCACTATGTCCCCTAATGGGGATCCACTGTCTGTAAAGCTCTGCTCCACTAATCCAGCGCCCCCGCGAGGACCTTGCAGGGGTGGGGTGGGGTGGGGGGGGAGATGAGGCCAGCTCTGGAGCACTGAGCTCGCCCACAAGAGCAAGCAGCTAAGTCGGGGGGGTGGCCACTTCAGGGTGACACTCACTGTCACCCCCAAACTTCTGTGCCATTGCTGAAGCCAGTGACGACTCACGGCAAACACCCCTTGGCCCTGCCTGTGGCCAGCTTGCAGGCCTGAGGAAGGCTCCAGCCTTTCAGCCCATCAAGCCAGCGGCCTGGAAGGGGGATTAATATTTCAGGGATCAGATTTTGGGTAGGGTGGGAACGGATTAATAAATACAGGACAGATCATTCCCATTCTCCTCTCCTCCCCAGCCCAACCCACCTGCCCCCTTCTCCTGCACCCCCGTCCCGGCACAGAGCTTCTGCAGCCCCAGCCGCATCACCCGCTCAGTACCCCGCCGTGAAAGAGCTGTTGTAGGTTTCAGTGTGGAAACAGGTCCTGTGAGACGTACTGGTGAGGCTATAGGCGAAGTAGGCCACGGCAGAGCCCAGTGTCAATCCGGTCATATAGGACACTGTCATGGTGTTACCTGCAGGAGAAGGGGAACGGAGAAGAGAAGCCAGGAGGTTAACCCTCATCTGCCAGACAAGCGCGGATGGCTCAGACCCTAACAGGGTGCCAGGAAGCGTCTCCACTCATGATCCGGGGCCCCGCCGGATTTGGGACAGAGGTACCCTGCTCTAGCTCTAATCTGTAACTTACCGCCCAGAGCATATTGCTGGCAACCCAGTGCTGGTGGCCATGCTCCCAAGCCAAGGGAGAGCGAGGGTGCAGCCGGTCACTGGTTTGGGCCCTGCAGTGGATAGGGGTGCAGCGGTCTGGAGACGCAGTGGTATGAGCTGGGGTGGGGAGCCTTAGCGCAGGAATTGGATCAGCGTGGGCAGGAGACAGCCACCTGGAGGGGAGCTCTACAGGGGCCAAAATGGTACTACCCTCCCCAAAGGGACAGCAGGATCCTCACACCCGCGTTAACCCCCTGCCCCTCCGCTGGACCTTGTTTGGCCAGAGAGAGAGCCCCGAGCGTAGGTGCTCTTAGAAACTGAGCTTCTGGGGAATGACTCCCAGACTGGGCTGGTGCCACTGGATAAGTCACCCTTGGTGCGGGTGCTGCCTGCAAAATGACATGCAGGGCAACCAGCACGTCAGTGCACAGCCAGGCTTCGTGCGGAGGCCTGCAGCCCGGACATGGCCTCTGAGCCTGGGGGGTAGTGCAGGGATGAACAGGAGAGGGACTCGACCGCCCACCGGGGCCTGCCTCCCACCCACACCCGCTTAATATTTTGGAGTGACCCAACCGCTTCCTCTCCCCTCACCCAGGCACAGCTGGTCTCTCCCTGCCGTGTAACGTGTAACCGGGATGGGACTGGTTCCATGCACACGGCATCTTTCCCCCCACTGGCCTGCCCACACCTACCACATCCCACAGCAGTGCCTGCAGCAGTGCATTCTGGATACATCTGGGCAATCTCCCACGCCCCCTCAGCTGCTGCTTCCAGGGGCACTTGGGGCAATGCTGCTGAAGCACTGTGCGAAATCCCCTCTCATGCACACAGGTGGGACGTTGGAGGACTGACTAACCCGGTTATAGTGGCAGGGCCCAGCCTCACAGTGTGAAACGCAGGTGCCAATCATGTTACAGGGTGACGAGCAATGGCAAACCACAGCGCACTATCTGGTTAGGAGCCACATGCTAGCCATGGGGCGTGTGGCCATGTGTTAACCCAGCGAAGAACTCAGCAGCAGCTCTAGTGCAGATGGGCCTGAAGGTGGGAGCAGTGACATGGGTGTAGAAGGGGACCAGGCTGTACTGCTAACCGTGGGAAACACAAATGGAACTTGTGAGGCTGTGGGTCCAGCCAGCACTGTCCCTGCCTCCCTACACGGCTCCCGTGAGCGGCTGCCATGTGTCAACACGTTATTCCTCCTACCTGCCAGTTCCCGCTGCTCCGGGCTCACTTTGCCAGCAGCTAGGATCATGGGTACGCTGCCAAAGTACCCGTTGGTGATCCCCATGAGGAGGGAGAAGATGCAAGGCCAAGCGGGGTGGTTGAAGGTGGGTTTCCCACTGGGGTACACGCACATTATAAAGAGGGGAATGAAAATCACTCGCAGACAGGAGTAGATGAGAAGGTGGGTCCCTCTCCAGTCATAAGGCAAGGCAGCCAGGATCTAAAACACAGAGGGAAAGTCGCATTGTGTTGCAAAGGAAAGCGGCTTCTGGAGTAAAATCTAGATCAATAAAAGACGAGGCTGTTCAGGAGGCCGGCCTAGACTGAGTGGCAGTTCCAGAGCAAAAAAGCCACTGGAAACGAACAGGTCTCTACTGTGGGATCTGAAGGAATCCAAACCTAGCCCATCTTCAGTTACAATCCACCCCCATTTAGACCAGACCCTCCACCCATACACACACCAACCACACCTTTAATAACACACCAGATCAGCAGACAACCCGGTTTGAACGGATTGCTTTTCTAACAGCAGGGGAGGGACGACAAAGTCTGTAAAAATATGCACGGCAGGAAGTCATGAGCCACTCCAAGCCCAGGGCCTGAACTTGGGCAATTGACTCCCCGTTCTCTTCCACAACAGGGTAGACTGGCCATCAGACAAGACGTGTTCCTTAGTAATCTACTGCCCATCTGGCACCTCAACCGCTACCCACCCTCCCCAAAGAAGCCTGCACAGGAGGTCTAGCCAGGACCCCTCCTACCTTGCCTACAAAGTCCGAGAGGTTGAAGACAGCCATGATTAAGATGGGGAGCCACTCCCCAAGAGTGCAGTTGCGGATCTCCGACTCCAGCCCAGGAAAGAGGCACAGTGTGATGAAGTAGGTCATGGCTATGGAAAGCATGTAGGCCCAGATCACCCTGGAGACAACGTAGCGATGGAGCATCATGTCTGGAGGAGGACACCAAAGCAACTTGTCAGCTTATTACTAAACCCACGCTCTTCCCCCTGCAGAGCACGGCAGTGAGAGGTTCACCTCCACCAGCCTTCGCCCTGGTCTAGGGGTGCTCACAAAGGCGCTGATTAGTTCTGCATGTGAACGGATGCTTTCCCAGCATGCGGCAGAGATGTATCAATACAGAAGGCCACCCTGGCTTCTGCCCTCAGAGCTCTGACCCCATCTTCCACATTAGAAACCCATTTGCCCTTGCCAGACTCCATTCCCTGAACTGTGGGTCAGGTTCAGGACCGGTGTAAACAAGTGCTGTTCAAATGACTTCAGCAGAACTCAGGGCTGAATCCAGCAGGCCCCTAAGCAGGCTCTCTGATTTCCATCGGACGCTAGAGCGGTATGAATGCTGTAATTCCACATGTTGTGTACACACCACACCTGCAACTCCGGGGAATAGCTAATTTACACTCGCTGTGACCTCCCTTTCCCCCTGTGAGGGCAAAAAGGCAAGAGAGACGGCGGTAGCTGGCCGTGTTATTTTATGTCCAGTGCTTGGCAGAAATGTACCCTCAGACTCCCTGTGATGTGCAGCATGAGATTATCTCACTTGGGCCTAAAAGTTTCTCAGCCTCCACTGCTGTTCAGTGCCATGTGTGTTGGATGGGTTCCGCCTACCACACCAGAGGCAGCTGCATTTCAGAGATGCTGTGCGTATCGAGACTGCAAAGCGTTTGGGGGTGGAAGGTCTATCCTAGGGACAGATGTCTATGGCTGCCATCACAGTAACCTCTGAGTGCCTCGCAGACATGGATGACTTAGGGGCGTGTTTTCACCCCCTTTGTGCAGATGGGGAGCCGAGGCATACAGAGAATAAGTGACTTGCCCAAGGTCACCTCAAAATGCTGTGGCAAAGCAGGAGCTGAACCCAGCTGTCCTGAGCCTTTAGTAAAAGAATATCCTTCCTCCCGCAACGGCACGACAGAAACGCACAAGCGGCTGCAGTACTATTAAAAGGTGACAGTTCCACTTTAAATGGCAGCCTCTGAAAGCCCTTTTAAGTGAGAGTGGGCTAGTTGTCCCTGCCAGCTAGAGCAAAAGACAAGTGCGCTTGTCAGAGCGAGTGCCGGGGAGAGCCTGGACAGCCCGGCTAGCGGGTCCCTGCAGCTGGACACAGGTGTCCTACCTCGGAAGCTGGGCCAGCTCCTTTTGATTCTTGGTCGAGGGACGTCAAACCTCACATAGGTGCCGCTGCCAGCCAGCTCAGCTTCATGCCCCAGGCTGCCCAGAGGGGAGCCCGCCTGCCCACAAGGCCGATTTTCCTGGGGAAAGCACAAGAGGGATCAGGGTAGCGTTGAGCCAGGGGGTATTTTGCAAAGAACAGCTCAGTGGGAGGAGGGGGAAAGGCTCCGGGAACTTATCCACCTTGATGTAAGACCCTCCTGCTGTCACTAGCAAAGCCAGAATGGATGAGGTCAGTGGCTGTAATACACTTCACCCAGGAAGCGTAGAGAACAAAAGTGGGGAGGGGAAACATGGGTTACACTGAGCTACCAGTTTATGTGCCACGCTAGGACATCCACCGTTACTGTATAGATTTATATACAATACTTCAGCGTCTCTCTGCACCAATGCACCGTTAGAGGGCACCACACATCTCCTAAAAGAGGGGCTCTCGCAGTTTTCCATAGTGCGCACAACAATGGAAAGCAGGTTGTCTTGTAGGCCCATCTCCGCTCCCATTCGTGGCTGCACAGCCCACCTCCCCTCCCATGCCCAATTGTGTACCGTCCCCCTGTGGCACCCTCGGCAATTGTTTGCACAGGACAGAAATAGTCGGAAAATATTAAATGTCTTTTTAAAGTCTAATGTCACAGCTACAAGCAAAGAGCAGGGGCCAGCGGGCAGAGATCAGGCGGCCAACCAGAAAGTGCTGAACCAGCGACAGGGTGGCAACCCCGCCCTACAGCGAACTGGGATGCAGGCCCATTATCACACTCATTTAAGAAAGTCGTCTGTGAGGGGCTGGAGCGCAGAGGGCTGCATTTCTCGTGCAGCACTCTGCCTGCGAAGCTGAAGGAGCAGCCCTGCTAATGCCCTTCAGCAGGGACTTATGTGGCAGACAGACCGTGATGAGAAGCAAAGCATGGTTCTCATGCCAAACAACTGACACCACTGGTTGGAGATGGTCCCATGGGTATGAGGGCAGATGCTGTGCTTCAAGTTCTAATTCAACTCTGGATTCTGCACCACAAGGTCGTCTGGACCAAACCAGTGCATCTTTGTACCTTTGTCAGTCCTTCCCTTATCCCTTGGAGATAGCTTCCCCAGCACATCTGCCTCAGGCCAGCAGCTGGAGGCCCAGGTCAGAGGCAGCAGAACCCCAGCGGCATCTAAAAGCCCCTGGCACACCCGCCCACATAGCACAGAAAGGGAGACTTACGAATCTGATGTCTTCTGCAGTGACATCGTGGTGAACCCTGTATCCGGTGCTGTGGTCTGGGATCCCTTTGCCCCCAGGTGCGCCCTGCCGGGAGCAGGCGGTGTAGTGCCGGACAAAACGGGTGCGCTTCACCAGCAGGTGGAGAATGAAGCACATGAGCTCGATGCCGATGGAGATGAAGAAGAAGATGATGGTGTTCTCCTTCTCGTCCGACAGGAGGAGTTTGGTGAAAATGCGGCTGAGGGAGATGATGACCCCCGCAGTGCCTGAGAGGAAGAGAGCAAAAGCAGGCCTGTCGGCACAGGGGGTCCAGGGACAGCAGGCAGCTCAATGGCCGGGGCTGCAGAGACATTCTGGACCGGGTTTGAAACCCAGGTTCTCTGTCCTGACAAGGACAGAACCCAAGATGTGACTCGGTGGCCAGGCCGGGCCAGTGTTGGCCTGGCCCCAGAGAGGGGCACTAACATGTAGTGAGTGGGCTGGTGTGTGCTGGGTGAACTGAGAACAGATGTGAGCCACAGGCTACTCTGTGAGCCGAGATGATTTCTGTCAGTAACGCTGATTCCCTAGTACTTCCCCCAGCAACACAGAACAGGCACCCAGTCCCGGCCCTGTTTGCTTTGGAGTTAGCTGCAGTGGGGGAAAGTGAGCGGAGAGGCCACTTTCCCCTCACTGCAGGTATCTCCCTGACAAAGGGGTGAGGCGCAGGAACTGTTTGTTCTCTCTCCCTGCTGTGAGACAGCTCATCTACTGCTGGGGAAATACAGGGGAATCGGCTCACCCCACCCATACCTGGTGCTGCCCCCTCGGCTGGCAGTCCCTGGCAATGCTCGTGCTTTGCTCTCTTGAGTGTTAACAGCAGCCGCACACACGCAGAGCAAAGGGAAACAGCGTCTGATAGGTGCATGCAGCCCTCTGCCAGGCAGCGTATTTCCCCGAACAACCCAGGAGCTAGCACTAGGCAGAGTTACAATGCCAGGCTTTTCATGCCACGCCGTGTAACTGGAAGGGACAGCCCAACGGAGTGCTGTTCATTCCCCCAGCCCATGGGAGGGGGCAGCCTTTCTTTCTGGCCCGCGTGCCCACTGTAATTACAGTTTTTCTCTGCCTGGCGTAGGGCCAGCTGGCCACTGACGGATGAAAACACCAACCAAAGACCAACAAATTCCCCCTTCAGGGCGTCAGTCAAAATATCAGTGAGAGCACCCCAGCTGTCGCCAGCTGGTGCATGTGCCAATGATAGGTGGTGAGCGTGCCCACCACCTGCCAGCGTGTGCCAAGGCCAAATCCATTACCCTGGATTATCAGGAAAAGACTAAAGCCTATTCTGGACAGCAGCACCTGAGGAGTGAGCAGCATGCTGGTCAGTTTCCAGCGAGCCATCTCCGGGAGCAGGGCTGGAGACTGAGAGATTGCTGGGCTGGGCCAACGTCTGCTGGCAGTGGGGGAGAACTAAAGAAGGCTCGGCTAATAATGAATGAAGGCCTTTGCTGTGTACGTTCAAAGATGGGCTGCAATCTAATTGGGATGGAGGTCACCCCTACCCGTACTCCAGGTCACGGTAGAGACTCTATCCTCTCTTCTGCTCGCTGTAAAATGCCCTGGGACATGAGTGTGCTGTCTGCATGCTGCTCATGCTGCCCTCCCCTCTACAGAGCCAGAGAGCCGTAGAAACAGGGGGGTACATCTACACTGTAACACGGACTGCAGCACATGTAGACATACCCGAGCTAGCTACCAACCGCAATGGAGCACAGGCTTCAGCGTGGGCTAGTCACCCGAGTAAGTGGCCCGGGTCCCAGGCGGGCTTGTACAGGCCGCACCGAAGTCCAGGCCACCACAGCTTCACACCTATGAGCTCTCAGGTGAGCTAGACTCAAGCTAGCTCAGGTATCTGTACAGATGCTGCAGTCACACCTCTGACCTCCGCACAGCCATACCCCGTGTATGTGACTTTGCTCAGAGCCTAAGTTACCAGATTGCTAAGGCGGGCTCCAGCTAGGCCTCTTAGCATGGAGAAGTCACATCTCTCAGCAGCATCTTCCCCAAGAACCTGACCTTGTGGTGGATGGAACATTGCAACCTGCCTCTGCCTAGGTCTACACTGTCAGCTAGGGATGTTCCCAGCTCCCGCAGCCAAACCCGTGCGAGCTCGAGAGCATGGGAAGCTACCCCAAGCACAAACCACCTGAACCCTGTGGGTGTGTACTCAGGGCGGCCAGCACAGTACCTTGATGAGAGCTAGCATGAGTACGTCTGCGTGAGCTGGGAATCACATCTGAGCTCCAAGTGGAGACGTAACCTCTGTGTCAAGCTGGGGGTCTTTATTACATGTGCCAACTAATGATTACATCTAGGAGAATGGGCCAACTAAGGACGCACTGGCCAACGTGCCAGCCAGCAGCTGGCTAATGAGCCTATTATCTAATCAGAATTGCGAGTAGCTCTGCCAGCTAGCAGGCTTTAAGAATCCAGGGTTAGGAGGATACTCACTCTCGCCAGTCATCACCCCTTGGGTGTACCGCTTGGGCAACATCCCGGTGTAGCCGTAGAAACTGGATTGCTGCACTTAAAGAGAGAGGCGCACCGAAAAAAGAAAGGAGAAGAGGTATTATTCCCTACCCACAATTCCGCGGGGATCTAGCCCAAATATATTGCCGGGAGTCCTGCCTAGGTCCCTGGAGCTGTTGAACTAGGAGAAGTTGGTGCAGTTTCCTATCTAAAGTTCTGATTCAAGAAAGCACATGCTTAACTTTAAGTTCATTGTAGCCGGTCTAAGTGCTTTCATGAATCAGAACCGCCTCCTTCACTCTTGCCAACGCAATAAGAAAACAATACTGTGGAAAGGCACCAGCTCTCGGTCCTGGATACCTCCGGCACATGAGAGCCCTAGGTACTAAAAGCCAAACTGTAACAGGGTGTCGGGGGTAGGTGGGGTGTGAGGGTGCAGGCTGCACAGCCTGACTCTGGCTGTTTACAGACGTGAAGCATCACGCGAACGACTCGTGTTCCAGAGTGTTAACCAGCATCATAAAGAAAATCATAGAAAGGCTGTAAACACACCTGGGCTAGCTGGTGCTAATGAGCTGCGGAAGGCTGGGTTTTTATGGGATGAAATATGGTAGGCCAATAAAAATCACCCACCTGGGGATTGCCCTGGGATTAACAAGTCCTGCTGCCCAGCAGCTGCATGGGGCCCTGGAATTTCATTATTTCAAAGCATTCAGTCACAAGGGAAAAGGCTTTGGTTAGCATAGCAACAACTGGACTTGATGGCTTTTGGGTTATTAATATTTTCAAAATGAACCAGAAACTCAGCAGCTGGAACAGCAAGCAGGGATTCAAAAAGCGTAAATGTGCCGCCTTAGCTCAAAAACGGGCATTTCACAGAGCCCAAAATGGGAGGGGGGAAACCCACCCCCACTTTTTTCACCAAACAAGAGGTCGGTTTCAATTCACGTTCTTTTCTATCTAATCTATCTGCCTGGTACTCGGATGCCCCACCCCATCAGCGCTTCCCAACAGAACTAACAAACCAGCCAGGCCAGCTGGCCAAGCAAGGAGCAGCCACCGCTATGCTGACTTACCCCAGCTTGGGATCTGGCCCCACTGACTGCAATTGACCTGGCGATGCTAGAGATGCGTGTTTGATTGATGATGGGCTGGGTGGGTATGGAGTTTGGTATTTGGGGGTTCCAGGAGAAGCTGAAAGCCCCACAGGCCATCAGGCAGCACGTTATGCAAATAAGTGTATTTTATGCAAATATGTGCCATTTATGCAAATCAGATAGCTCCTGGTTTGCGCTGGCAGGTGTGCATGCTGCTTTATGTGCTATGGGTTACGGGGTGTTCCCGGGATCTGAGAAGCGCAGATGTAAGTGGCTGAACAGATCTACTTCAGAAGAAGAGTGGGGAGATAGTTCAGGGAGCGGGGATCTGGAATTTCAGGCAGCAGCAGGTGGCCCATCAGGGGCTGCAAACCGCTGAGTTATGTGGACCCAACAGAAATGTCAGAAAATTTGTTCCTGCTTTTCCCTGCAAGGAAATAGGATGTTTGAGGGGAAGAGCAATTTCCCCCTTCCAGATACTCCCCTCTCTATTTTCAAGCAGGCCTTGTACTCTGAAACAAGACCCTGCTCTCCCCAAAACCATCTGGCCTGTCCTCCTTGCGCCAGGCTTCACATACCTGTGCAGCCGAAGGCCACGACCCCTACGGCTATCAGGTTGATAGCATACGCTTGCCTGTGGGTGAAGAGCTCCAACCAGACATCGCAGATACTGACGAAGAGAAGGGGACCCAGAGCGAACAGGTATCCTGCAGCGAACAAGATGGACACTGGAGTCAAGGGGCAGAGAGCAGAGCTGGAAGCAAGCCTTTGGACTGGCTTGGGACAGCGATGTGATGAGCTCGGCAGGCTGTGGAATCCCAGTGAAACCCCACGGGGCCAAGCGTCCGAGCCACTACTACTGCATGGAGCAGCCTGGAGAGAGAGTGCGTCCCTGCACTGAGGCGGAGATGGAGTTACAGAGCAGACGAACAAGGGGCCAGAGAAACCCCCCGTTTCTTTCCATCTACGCCAAGATGGCTTTAGTCATTTAACTGCTTATGGGGTGGAATGGAAGCCTAGGCATCGCCCTGTAGGTTCCTCGTGATGTTTGAGTTTCTAGGCAGCCAGATGTTTGGGTGTCCAGACGTCTGCCTGATCGTAATTCTGGTGTCTAGCTAATGGTGTGTCTGACTGACTGCGTGGCTGGAAGTTTGGGTGTTCACACTGGATGCTGGGCTAAATCTAAGTGATTGGGTGGCCTGAGGCTTGGGCGAATGGAATGTGCTTATATGGCTTTGTACATGACCGGCCCAGATCTCCCAACCCCCTTCCCCCTGGAAACTGAACAGAACGTATCTGCACACATAACACGCATCTTGTCTTCACTGCTGGGAGATCAGGCGGGGAGCAGAAGTGACACTCAGCTACCCTTAAGGGGCCAAGGATGGGCAAAAATATCTCAGTGCTTGCAGGCTTTTTCCAGGTCAGTTGGTGGAGAGGCGCTGGAGACAGGAGTAGAGTCCACCCTTCTGGAAAACGTTAGCCTGACCGCTTGCACCGATGGGATAGGAAAATAGCCACGGAGATATGGTAGCCCCAGAATGCAGGCGGTAGGCTTGGGTCCTGTCTGGATCCCTGAGGCAGGGGAAGGAAATGGAGAGACCTACCCACAGAGATCCTGGTGTGCAGACTCAGCAGCTCCACCAGGGCGTTGTTCAAGATGACAGCTACCAAGGCTACCAGGATGTAGGTGAGGCTCATATCAAACACAATGGAGGTCCCTGCAGAGCAACAGAAGAGGTGAGGTGGTCAGCAATGCTCCAAGAGCCGCGTTGGACTGAGTGTGTTGATTTCAGCAGGGAGCTTTCAAGCTACTGCTGACCACGGGTCTGTGTTGGCACCTTGGTGAACAGAATTTGGGGTCTGGTGGCTGTTCTGTATTTCCTCCAGCCCACCTGTCTGGTTTCTCTGATGGCTGAACCAGGCTCAGGGTTTGGGTAACTCAGCTGTGGCCTCAAAGAACAATTTCAGGGTTGCATTGTCTAGGGATATCCAGGAACAGGAAACATTTTCCAGGTTGTGGAAATAGGCAGCAGGGCCGGCTGAAATAGAAGGCGGTGGAATGACAGAAAGTGGGGTGAGGGTCTGGGGAGATACCCCGTGGGCAACACAGGAGATGCCACGGGGGCAGCCACTCATTTTGTCTAGCTCCACTTTGCACTCCGGGTACAAACACTGCAGAGTGATACTGCTGTCATTAATCGGGCTACATTTGTGAGTTCAGGCTGCTAGACACCCCATCCAGGAGACATCCAACACCTGTCAATATCTGCATCCACAAGAACTGGGAGACCCGGCCAAGTCCTATTTCAAAACCAGACTCCCTGCCAAATACACCGACCCTCACTTCGGCAGCCTCTGTCTTTTCAACATCCTAGCACCAGCTTCTAGGATCTCCTGTCATTAAATGGGACTGTGTTTGCTATCAGCATTGAACATCAGAGATCCTGACTGCTGGCTTTCAAAGATTACATGTGAATTGGAAATCAGCGGCCTGTCCGGGCTGGTTCCCCTCTGCCTGTCAGACTAGCATTCTCCTGCTAATGAGGACTCTGCCGTGACAGTTTCCATGCTGTGCCCTAGCTCAGTGTGAATGAAATCCAGGGAGCAGGACCTGGGACACGCCAAACCACCATTGCTGGGAAGGACCCACCTGGATATTTGTGATGCAAATAGTCCACATCTGTGATAAAGCTGTTGTATGGCAGGAGAAATCCAACCCCTGCTAGCAGCATGGCGAAGTAAATCCCATGGTATCGATCCTGCGGCTCGGGGTCTTCTAAGGCTACAGCCGGAACAGGACAGAACAGGTGACAGTTAAGCTGATGGGCCTCTTGGAGCCCAACACAGAGTCCTACAGACAGGCTGGGAAATATATCGAGAGGCAACAGATCTATTGTTCACTGAGACGAGGTACCGAACATTCCCAAATGAGGGGCTCTGTCTATGTCTCGCAGCTTTAGTAAAGAATCCCCTTTATACTCATTGCAACTCTCTTCTCTCCCATGAGACACTGCAGTGCCATTATTCGACTCGATCACCCGCACAGGAATAACCAGGCTAGACCAGTGGTCCGGCAAGGCCGGGATCCTGTCTCTAACAATGGTCAGCATCAGCTGCTTCAGCGGAAGGGGCAAGAAACCTACCTATCGGACATCTGTGTAGCACCAGCCAACGGGTGAAGTATCTTCCTAGACACTTGTACGTATGGATCGGTGTACACATGCCTCTGTTCACCTACCTCTAGTTCCCAGCCTTCCTCACCGGGAGCAGAGAGTGAGGTTTTGTTATGGTCCCTGTACTAGGAGAAGTTATTGATCTCTGCAGCTACACATCTTTTCCCAGAATCACTGACCTCGGCCCAGCCACCCTTCTGCACTTGAAACCCCCCCAGGAAAGAGCAAAGCAGAAATGCCTACTGTTCTCTCAGCTGGGCTCGCAAGGGAACATCTGGGGGCCCCAAAAGAGCAACAGCTATGTTAAATCTCAGCCCTTCCCAAAGGGCCACCTATTGGCCCAGGGGCGAGTGCTCCTCGAGGCCACGGGGGAAAGCAGCTCGCAAGCCCTTACAGGGACTGAGAGCTCCCAGAGGGATTAAATAGCAGGGTCAGCCTTTTCATTGCAAACTGGAAAGGATGGTATTAATGTCGGATAGCTGTATTGTCGGGTTCCCATAATGTGCCCAAAGCCAGGTTCACCTATGGCGCTCCACAAAATAAACACCAGCCTGGCTAAACTGCAGCCTGTGAGTAGAGGCATTTCAACAGTGATCCTGGCAGTATAAGAATACCAGGTCTTTGATGTGCAACGTACTGAAGCAGTCCCGTGCCATCCAGCGTACGTTCAGGGAGTGACTGGCAGAGGTACAAACCTAGGGCCAGATCCTCCGCTGGTGCAAATGCAACTAGCCCCAGTGGAGGTAAGGTAAGGGTCTGTCCTACAGTTGGCATCTGCTCAAGTGACTCAGCCTGTGAGATGTTTGGAGTAAACTCTCGTATAAGATCATCTTGGCCAGGGGAGCGACGGCTCATTAATTGCTTTCCTGTCATCTGGGAACACGCTGCAGTTACGACATGTCGGAGTCTGCACTGTTAAAACACCGGGGATCTGCACAGGGAAATGGTGATGTGTGTGCCTGTCAAATAGCACAGGCCCCCAGGATCCCCACTGCCCCGGCATCATACGGAGAGGAACGAAACCACGGCAGGAGCCACAGAGAGGCCTGGCAGTGAAGGGGGAGTGGTTAAGAGCAGAGGGAGGAGCCACGATAAATCGCACGCGTTCTCATCCCAGCCCCCAGAAGGACCTTTCTTACCCAGCCAGAGGGGCAGAAAGTTAACCCTGCTGGGATGTCAAAGCCTGCACGCCTCAAGGGGAGGGCTCAGCAGGAGGGTGGCCAGCCAATAGCCACACATTTGCTGGCCCAGTCATGCTCCCCTGGCTAGTGAGCAGAGAAGCGTCCTCCGTGCTGCCTTGGACCCATGCAGTTGGGGAATTTGCTGGATTCCTTAGCTCCCTGCTTGTTTTGGTGGGTCCTGGCTGCAGCGCCCCCAGGCCAGTCCTGGGGATGTGGGAGGGTGTGTGTCACCTCTGTGGGGGTTACAAAGCCACAAAACTTGTTCTCCCCGCACGCTGTTTGCGCCGCAGGACAGTGTCCGGGCCATGGCGACGGATCAGGGGCTGCATGGACAACAGCAAGCTCCACTCACAGTAGTTATTCTTAAAGACTGGGCCAAACAGCTCCTGTACGCTAAGAACCAGCCCCAGATGCTGGACAAGATTTGAACCAAACCTTCTGGAGGCTTGGGAAAAGTTCCCGGAACGTACCGCTGTTATTATTTCCACCCTGTCCTGTGGTCTCTGTGCTTCTGGGCCTCATTTGGACCTGAAGTGTTACCACAATGAGGTAATGGCTGCTTGCGGGGTGTGTCTGGCCTGGCCAGGAGACCTTGCAAAAAAGCCCACCCTTGTGAGATCTCCCGACCCAAGAAGCCAGGATAATCTGAACACATGGCCAAAGTCTGGGGGGCTGAACCACCCGGCAAAGCAGGGTTTGCCCATGGCTCTGTGATACGTGGAGCGTGGAGCTGGTTGGTGCAGCACTGGCTATGACAAAGCTCTCTCTCCCCACTCCTCTCCCTGCATCCAGGGAGCTGCCTCAGCAGCCTGTCACTGCCATCGCTATGTGCCCCCCTCAGCCCTTCCTCCACGCTCCCTCCTTGCGAGCCAGGAGAGATGCGGCGCCCAGCTGCCAAGCCCTACCTGGCTCCATGAAGGTGAGGACTCCCTTGGCCTGATTCCCTTTAGCCTGCAGCTCCTCCTCCTCCAGCTGGTAGCTGTCGAAGCTGAAGCTCATCACCACATTTCCCTCTGGGGTCACCACGGGGCTGATGTCCTTGAAATGATCTCCTCTGACAGAGCCCATTGTGGCTGACCTAAAGCAAGAGAGGGCAGCAACACACCATTAGCTCAGCCCCAGCACGGTCCTCAAGGGATACCCCACAGGGGCTTATTCCCAACGGGGCCAAGGGCTCAGCTAACGTAATACGTAGGGAAAACATTCAACACACCATGCAAAACAGCAGAGCAGCTAGTGAGGGAAAAGAGCTGTGAGGTCATCTAGCTCTTCCCCCTGCCAGAGCCAGAATGACCACAGCATCTCAAGTGCTTTGCCCTGTCTAGTTTTAACTGCTCCAAGCGACAGGGCTCCCACTGCTTTCCCTGGAAGGCCTTCGTGTGATTCACCTCGCTGGCAGGACGTCTTTCCTGATAATCAGCCGACATTTCCTTTGCTCAGTCTCATCCCGTTTCTCCTAGTTACGCCCCCTGGCGTGCGCAATAGGCTCCCCGTAGAAAACAACCATGTCCCTCCACCCTGAGTCGCTGCAAAGTGGCACAAGCAGGCCCAAACTAAGAGGTGACCGACGCTAACCTGGTGTAATAACCTGGCCCCCCTCAACACACCCCTAACAGCAAGTTAGACACCCTTTGATTCACACCCACTCACTGACGTACACCCACGTTACACATCAGCCCTGGCTCCTTCTCTATTGTCCCTCAGTGACTTTTAGCTCAAACATGCTCAGTTTCTAAGATGTTTCTCCCCCTTATCTCCCAGCACTACCTCAGCCAGGATAGGCCAAGAGACAAGCTGGGGCCTTTCCTTCTCATGCGTCCTCAGCACCAATAATACAGATCTGGCCACGGAGGACCATGGGGTTCCCCACGCAGGGACTGGCATTTTGTTCCGTGTTTGCGCAGCACCTCACACACAGGTGGCACGCAGTATGAATACTAAATAATAAAATATGACATGTGAGAGGGAAAGAATCCAGCTTGTCTCTCAGAGTTTGAAGGGCTGGCGGTATGAAATATAGCATGTCTTTCTGAGCCCGTTCAAGCTGTACAGCTAGACAACACCAGGAGAGACCCCCCCACTGGAACCAAGAACTCCATTTTATGAGCATGAGGCACTTTAAAGATGTCTCCATCACTATCACCGAACTGCTCCTCTGTTGTGCGGTCCGAGAATGAAGGCTGCCAGCTGGCAGGATGGGCTGAGTGTGGATAGTGTTTTGAGAAGGACTCCTAGGCGGGAAGCAATGGAGTGAAAGGAGAACCTCCCACGAAACCTCGTAGAGAATTACTTCCGTGTAAGCTCGGTCTCTTCCCTGGTGAAAAAAAGCTCTCAGTCTCAGGTGTTGTCTGTGCCCTCTGCTGCTTGACTCTCTGAGCAGGTCTCACACCAGGATCTTCACCAGGACTTCTCCTAGCATGATATAGGCTTCAATTTCCCCAAGAGCCAGCACTTCCACATCCTCTGTGAGGGTGACTCGTGCTGGGAGAAGCTGGGCCTGCAGTAGCTGTGAGCTCATCACAGCCGGCGCGAATTCACTGGTCCCTCCAGCGATGTTTGTTGGGAGTGGAGGAGCTATGAGGCTCCCCTTTACTGCAGCAGTCTGCATGGCTGTCACAGCGGAAAAAAACCAGAACCAGGCAGGGCATCAAACTGTGCTAGAGAGTGACTAACGCCACAGCTAGGTACCTGAACCTACAGGGAATGGACAGGGCTGCCTCCACACTAAAGAGCTGCGTAACTGCAGCCTGGACCGGTGTGATTCCCACACTAGTCACCCTGTCCCACACGCATACATAAAACTCCTTGGGCATGGCAGGGCCTTGTGGATTGTTGCACCTGTAACACCAGCCGAGCCCGGGTGTCGGCAGACAGGATCGAACCTGGGACCGCTGAAGCTTAGGGCATGAGCCTCTACTGCAAGAGCTAAAAGCCACGTGGCTCTTAGCTATGGCTATCACAGACTCATCAGTCTCTAGCTGGGCTAGGTGCCATTAGAAGGGGACAGCAGGGATGGGTTACACACCTACCCCCCCACGCCCAGCACAGCTCCACAGAGCAGCTCGGGTCCATTTGCACCTCTCCACATTTTGGGTGCCGCCTCGGCTGCTCTTGGGCAGGCTTGTCAGGTGACAGAGCCGTTGCTCTGGGCTGTTGAGGCCGTCTCTGACGGACTAATTACACCACTGCTGTTGCCACACTACCATGGCTGTCTACACTGGCACTGCACGGTGGGCATCCAGCTCAGAGCAAGTCCAGCTGCAGCCTGGCATGAAGCCCCGTGCACTGTTGTTAGCGATGCTGTGTCTGGATGCAGGGCCTGGCACACACACGCCACAGGGTTCTCCTGCCTAGAATGAGGCTAGCAGGGTTCTCCGGTGCTCACATCCTGGGGACCGTTTCACAAGAACTAGACTGTTTCGTGACCCCACCTTCCCGCCCAGTTCCCCAAACCCCACTGCTTGGGTCCCAAAGGGTTTCATTGTGCAGAACACCAGCGAGGGCTCTGCAGCTTCCGGATGGGCTCTGGGTCTGAGAACCAAGCACCCGAGAGCAGCTTTTTAACAGAGACAGCATGGCTGTCGGGGAAAACTGATACCCGCCCTGTTCCCAAAGGCCAGGAAGACTGTGCTAAGAACCACCATGGCAGAGATCCCATCCTGCTGCCAGAGCCTTTGGACCTTTGCAGCCCAGGTGAAACACCAACAGGCAGGGCTTCTGCATCATTTCTCATAGCAGCTCACGCGAGCAGAAAGTTTGGGACTGGAGGGATGTGCCCAGGTACACTTTCAGCCCAGACCCAGAGCATTGCTCTTAGCAGCTGGCACTGGAGAGGAACAGTATTCTTAGTGGACCAAATCCAGAGGGCCTTATTGAAGCAAAACCCCACCGAAGCTAATGGGCCCGATCCACCGCAGTCAACGGTGGCTGTAGGTGCTTGTCAACTCAGAGGTTTGGCCTGATGGAAGCTGGGACTGAGTCAAACCTGAGCAAGGCCCCGGGGGATCTGGCCCCAAGTGAGACTGAGTCTCCGAGCGCAGAGACGTCACAGAGGACGGTGCCAGGACCCCACGCACAGGCAAAGGGGCTCTGTAAGGAGTGCAGGTTGGAGACTGCGCACTGGCATGAGGTTATTTTGTTGCAAGGCCACAAGGAAATGCAATGGCTCCTTCGCTCCCACTTGCTCCTTCATGCACTGCCCGGAGACCTAGCTCAGGGATGGCTATTTCGGCAGAGACCTTTAGGCCTGCCCTCATATAGCCTTGCATTCTTTGCACAGGTGCGTTCCTTCCATAGACACTCCTTAAAGGGGACTGCTTTACTGTATGCAATTCAGCACCTTGTGTGATGCACCGAAGCGAGCCCCCTCTGGCCGACCTCTTCCTCCGGCAGCTCAGGGTTCTGCCCAAGGCTGCAAAACACATCTTTGCTCCCAGGTCCAGTCACTGTCTCGTCCATCTCGGTAGCTTCTACTGCACTGGCATCAAATGCCAGAGCAGAGACAGCAGCTTTGAGCTGGGCTATCTAGAGAGCTTATCGCAAGCTTTGAGGGGTGGTGTTAAGGTTTATCGCCACTGCAAATCCCTCACTGAAAGCCTCCCAACCTGATAAGCCAGGAGGACGGGGCTGCTGCCACTCAGCGGGGTTTTCACACTGACAGCCAGGGTTTTTTCTGCCTTGGGTGTCAGGGTGACAGCAACAGCTGTCAGGGGTTTGCTTTGGTGCTGGGGCTTTAATGTCCCCATGCCCCTGCTCTGCAGCAGCCTGTCACATGCTTCAGTTTCAAGTAATAAACCCGAGGACTTTTTTTTAATCCTCCGTTTTGCCAGGGACAACAATATGAAAAAGCCCAACTCAGGGGCCAGACTAGACCAACCAGGGTGGCTTTGGCTCTAGCCCAGGCAGTCAGCTGGGTTAAAGAGGACTTGGGACTGGCCACAAGATGGCATCGCTGGCTGATTAACGACCAAGAGAGAAGTGCCAAGGGACAGGCGATGCTGTCTGAGGTTAGAGCAGCGGGCAGGGTTCTATTCCTGGCTCAGATGCTGACTCATTGTATGCCCTTGGGAGAGTTGTTTAACCTCTGCGCCTCAGTTTACCTTTCTGTAACATGAAGATAATACCTTACTCACAGGCTTTAGAAAATATTTGTAAAGGCATTTGGCAGCCTCCTCTGAAGGCAAAGGGCAAACTATTGTAACAAACCGGTGGCCCTCCTACAACTTTGTGCTTGACTCTATGCTGTCCATGTGATTAATGAGCACTTCAACAGGGGGAAGAGAACCCGACGCCTCCTGGTCTGGAAGCACAGGCCCTACCCCTTGAGCTGAAGGAGACTCTCTGCTACCTGTTAGCAGCATAAAAAGAGTTCTGCTAGGAGTTGGAGATTCCCATTCCCTCCAATAGAGGGCGGTAGTGTTGATACATAACCTTCCCAGCAGGGCAGGTTGGAAGCCTGGTGTGATGTTTACTGCTCATGCCCCAACTGTCTGAGAGCTTGGTAATTGATGGGACAATAACTTGAGGCTGCTGGAAACTCAGGACATCTCCCCCTTATCCTGGCCCCAGCTGGTACTCTGGATTTCTGCAGCAGGCGCAGGAGAGAATCTGGGCTTCTCAGTAGGGGATCCCCAAGCAAATGGCTTTGCAGGGAGACCCAGATTTGCTTGAACTGGCCATAGCTCCACCATTCCCAGGGCTGTAATTTCCAACCCAGATCGGTGGCTCCAAACCCCAAACCTGTGAGCCCAGCAGAGAGCAGCAGGAACTGCTTTAACTGATCCTTACTGTCATGAGGGGCCACTTACAAAGAATCCCTTTAAACTTAACTGGGGCTGTGTCGCAGGGACCTAGCTCTGCCTCTAGGTGGTGCTCTAGCCCACCTCAGGCAGGAACATTCCTCCCAGAGTGGCAAGTTTTTTGGATTTGATTTGTTTTCTGTTGTGGTGAGCACCATGTGTCTGGCTACCACAATGAATGATGGCTCTGAAGAGGGAAAAGTCTACCTGCATATCTGGAATCCCAACAGGAACACAGCGATTCCATTAGGGGTCTGATAAATTAAGTCTCCGACCCCACCCCGAGAAGCCTGGCAGGGAAGCTAGAGTTTGCAAAACTCCAAGAAGCTCTTGTGGAATCAGACAGCGCCAGCTGATACCTTGAATATTTGTTCTTAATGCAGCAACAGTTCATGTGTATAGGTCCTTAGTGCACAGTTCTTCGCATGGTCAAAATCTTTTTAGATGATCCCCTGCTTCATTTCACTCCAAACACCATCAAAGGGTAGATTCTTATTTATAGTTATGTATACTGTATGTTACCCCAACTGCCCACTGGATGTCAGTGGTGCTCCACCAAAACACAGCTTTAGGTACACTCATCCGGGGGAATAAAATGCTCTTCAAAACAGATGGGGGTGGGGATTCAATTTCAGTCATTTCCTGTCTCATTATGAGATGTGATGTTTGCTAGGATATAAAGGTTTACATGGAGTCTTAGCCATGATACGCCAAAGAGTCACATATTGGATAAACAGGGATAGAAACCTAATGCCTTAGTTAATTGGGTTGCAGTCCCAATGTCACACAAGCTAATGAAAGTTCTATTGACCCCTTAGAATCTAGTCCTTACAAACTTTGATCGCTTCCTTGAGCCATAAACATATTTACTTATTCCAGGAACATGCCACAGCATCCTCTGAATCTGTGTGATAGGCCAGTCGGTACCATTATGCTAATAGCAGAATCCACTGTCTCTGCCTCTGACACGCGTCCTGCTGTTCTTTCAGAGACTAAAGGTCAAAGTAGTAACAACAGGTCTTATACTCCAGCCGCAACCTAAGGGGAATGTGCCCTCTCCAACAAGCAGCCTGGCAATGCAACAAGAGCAAAGCAGCTGAACTACTCAAGGCAACTGCAACCCAAAATTAATCCAAACTGAGCATCTTGATCATGGGCCTGGAATGTTTTGCCTGAACTTCCACTGAATGGAAAGAGAGCGAGGGTGAAAATCTAGCTACCTGCTCCTACCTGGAACAAATGTAGGCCTCATGCACTGGGCCCATGCACTGGACGAAGCTTGCAAGGTTTCGGCTGGCAATATACAGCGACCTTGGAGTGTCACATTTTGAAGAAAATGAAATTATAACAGAAAACTGACCCCTAAGGCTCAGTCACCTTGAAGCACCAGAACTGACTCCTGGTCTGTTTCACAGGTTATTTCTTTAAGTGGGCTCCACTCCCTTTTAAAGGTGGAATAAAACCAGTTGTTGACACTATCTGCTAGGAATCTGCTTACAGAACTGAGTTTGGGATTAGCACCTTTTTGTCTATTGTCAGGTCGGAGCTTTGTTATTCTCTGTGAGAGATGCGAGACTATCCAACAAGGAACAGAGCTTTGACCGGCTCAGACAGGACTGGGAATGAATACAGATCCTTTCTGTGTTATTTTTTGTTGCAAAAGTCATGCTTCATTAACCTTTTGTTAACACCCTTCAGCAGAGTAATATAAGAGCAGCTAAAATTATTAAAACCAAACACAGCAAAAACCACTTACCAAACACCTGATGCTAAAAGAAACAAATCAGATAAGACCAGACAGGAAATGGTCTCCGGACCCACTGTAAAGCCTGTTGTAGATTTTTTTAAATAGAAAACCTGTTTGGAGAATAAGCCTATTATAAAAGCCTCTTATCACAACGTAAACTTCTTACTGATTATACTAGACCAATAAAGCTGGGAAGCATGGACAGTACACAGCACAGGAAGGAACCTTTCCTGTTCTGCAGGCAATACAATTCCTTAATAACTCCGGGCCTGATTCTCCACTCTCAGTGGGTTTACACTGGTGTGCATCCATTGACCCAGTGCAGTTACTGCTCACTTACACCACGATCAGCGAGAGAAGAATTGGGCCTTAGGCGAGTGACATCCACAGTCCCTTTTCCAGGCTCAGAACTGAGAGGACCGGGAGGATGAATCAATTCTCATCAGGAAGATTTTTGTGGGTTTTAAAAATATTTTCAGTAGCAAAAAATATAGTAAATCCTGGGCTGGCTGGGTGTGGACAGTGGCTCCCCTCTAGCAGGTCCACCTCCCTCTCCTAGGCAGGATTTATTCCTTTATCACTAAAACCAGCCTGGATTGGTTAAACCCCAACACTGGGCTCCCCAAAATCGCTGATGCTCTCTGTCCCCAAAGCAACTTCTTCCCTCTCTCTAGCTCCTTCCCTCCTCTGCATCTCCTAGCCCAGCTGTCCTGCGGCGGCCATTCGGTCCCAAGGTGGGCTCCTCCCAGGGCTGTGAGGATCAGAAAAGCCGGGCCGGAGGGCAGCTAAACCCTGCGGCTCGCTCCGGGCTTCGCGCTCCTGCGGCTGGAAGAAGGGCCCGGCGAAGCGCCGGTCCCATTTCACGCCGTCCACAGCGACAAGGCAAAGGCAAAGGCACCCCTGATTTCTCCACCTTCCAGCTGCGCCCCATTCACCCCCGTGCCGCGAGCCGGGCTCCCTCTCCTGCCTGGGACGCCCCCTCCCGGGGGCGCTGCGCAAACACCCAGGTTGCACGAAGGCAGGGGTCTGAAAAGCCCTGATTTAATGACAGTGATGGGCCGGGGGGTCCGGAGTCCCGCAGCGATCAAACAGCCGCCGGGGGCCCCCATTTCGGGGCGTGAGGGTGGGGTGCCTCCGGGCAGGTTCAGAGCCCGGGGTGCATCTGGGGCAGATGGGTGGGGCTGTCTCCCCCCCCCCAGCCCCCCGAAATGTCAAGGCGGGGATTTGCCCAGCTCCGTGCAATGTCTCGGGGTCTTTGCCGGGCCCAACAGGGCAGCCCCGCGCCCCCTCCCTTACCTCCGGCCGGGCTGGCTCCGCCGCCGCCTCAGCGCTCCTGCCCGGCCGCCTTCAGCCCGGCCGCCGGAGCCAGCCCGCTGCCTCCCGTCGCCCGGCCGCCGGCTCCATCCAGCCTCTGCCCGGCCCGCGCCTGGGGGGAGCCGCCGCGGGGAGGCGGGGAGCGTGTGCGCGGCGGCCCGGCCCCGGCTCCAGCCCCCGGCTCCCTCCTCCTCCTGCCGGAGACAGCCCGCCCGCTCCGCCCTCTCCCCGCCGCCCCCCGCGCGCCTGCCGAGCCCCCGGGGGACCCGCGCCCTGCCCGGGGCTGGCCAAGGGGTGGTGCCCGGGGCCTCTGGTGCCAGCCCCGGGCAGGTCTCCAGCCCGCGGCTGGGGGGAGAGGGACGCGGGGGGGGGGGGTAGGTGAACCCGGGTGTCTTTAGCAGGCAGCCCAGGTCCTCCCCGCCCCTGGGTGCCCGGTCACCCCCGGCCAGGCCACGGGTCCAGCTGTGCCCTGGCGCAGGGGGCGGGCGCTGGAGCCAGGCGCCAAGGCAGCAGCCCTGGCGGTTTGGCCTGGGGGCGCTGGGCTGGGTGGGAGCAGCCCGGCGCACCAGGGGCGCGGCCAGCCCTGGGGCGGGTGGCAGCTTCCCCCGGGCCGGTCTGAGCCAGCGCCCGGGCGCCAGGCTGGGGGCCGCCGTGCTGCTGGGGGCCCTGGCCCCTGGCTGGCAGACAGGGCCATGGGCCTTGCTGCTTGGTGGGGCTTTTCACCGTCGGAGCAGGAGTATTGCAACCCCCCCCCCCCAACTGCCCTGCCCCACGCTGGCTAGGCCGATGGGCAGCTGAGATGGCTGTTTGCTTTGCTGTAACCGCCTCCTCCCACCCCACCCTCCACGGTCTGTTCGGTCCATCCTGCCCCACACCTAGCCTGGCAGCTCTGCAGGGCAGGGACCCCTTTGTTACTTCTCTGTACAGCGCCTCGCTGTGGGGCCCGGAGCCTTGATCGGGGAAGGCCCTACCCATCATCAATAATAATATTAAGAGACAGGGCTAATGCGGGGGTCACATTCTGCCTACCTAAACTTCCCCATCGTTTCAGTTGGAGCCAGGAGTCTTCTCCTTCGCTGATGGAGCCACGGTGTTGCTGTGCACGGTTAAATAGGGGCTGTTTCTCACCCCAGAGGTGGCCGCATTCCAGGATGAACTGATACGTGTATACATTGAACCAAGCCCTTTGGAAGAAAAGGTGCTAGATAAACGTAATCTGTTGTTACTCTCATTAATAAATAGTGCCAAACCCTGATCTCCATGTGGACCATTTGGGAACAACAACCCAACGATTAGGAATTGTTGGTGTCTTAGGGCCACAGTGAGGCCTGAGGCTGAAGGCTGAGTGATACCAAGCACCCAAGCTACATGGGCACCTGATTCAGGGTGTTAATGTTACTCCTATGGAACTAAACGGGAGCTTGATTTAATGGGAGCAGGCCAGCGAGTGACACTCGGCCTGGTTTCCCCCTGCCTTGCAAAGCGCTACCCTACCTGAATAGCAGGATTTTCCACCCCCTGCACTTAGCACAAGGTGTGAATGAGTGACCATGAGGAATCGGGCCCATCGAGTCACTGCCTGTATCCAGCAGCTGAATGGCAACATGTACAGGTGCATTCTCCGATAGCAGTGACTGCCAGTGCCCGGGTGCCAGAGTTGGAGCACCCAACCTGCTCTCCTTCCCACATACCAAACAGAAACCCTGACAAGACAAGACAAACAGAGCAGAAAAACAGTTCCACACACCTTCTTCTCAACTAGCTTTTGCTTGTGAGCCCACTAGAAAATGACTCCACTGCCCCCCCCTTCTCCCCCACTCTCCTCCTGAATAAAACTGGCAGAACACATTCAGCTTCAAAGCCACTTAACTAAAGAATACAATCTTACATTCCTGTTGCACCTGGAGGATCTCAAAGGCATATGACAAACTCAGCAAACTGCCGTACAAACCATACAGGGGGCTCATGCTAGACATCACTGAAATGCTGCCACTTCTGGGGTGGAACGCAGCACCGGTTTAATAACGCACAGACTCCATACACAATAGTTCAGGGAAGGAAGAAAAATACCATCCCCCAATGGAAACTCATGATGTAATTTTGGTGAGCAGAACCAAAGACGTTTAAATGGAAAAGACCTATTAGATCATCTATATCCATATTCCAAGGCAGTGCATGATTGTTTCCAGAGACCGTGTATGAGAGCCAGACAGGAGTCAAACTTACACTCCTATAATTCAGAGTCAAATGTGCATTGTGCCCCTGGTATTGGAGAGAATGTATTTACCCAGTATGGAGTGCCACAGACAGTCACAGACTGGGCCTCCTCTCTCGGGCTTTTTGTCAGGGGACAAGCTCTGAGGTGATTGCCAATGAGTTTTAGTGATTCTGCATGATGGATTCATGACCCAGCAGTCTGAGTAAATGGCAAGCCCTAGTCATTGTCAGGGTGCATTGGTGCTCACTGACAGGGCCTTCCCACCATGTGGATTCGCCTCATGCAGCTCCCTTGGTCTGTTAAGACAGCAGATGGAAGTGGAATGGGGCATAAGGAGCTGGAGCCCCCGGGGAGGACACATGGAAACTGGGGACAGGCATGCAGAAGTTGGACAGGAAACAGAGCGAGGAAAGCAAAAATGGGACAGAGCACCCAGAAAGGAGGTACAGGGGCTGGTGATGGGGTGAACAAAGATCAAACTGGACCAGAGCAGGAAGGGGTTAATGGCTAGACCTGGAAAAAGGGGCAGAAGCCAGCTTCACCCTGCAACATCTGCCATTAATATCAAGCTGGGAGGAGCCTCCTCCAGCAGGACTGCGTTAAAAGGGACTTTGAGATGCTTGATTTTATTTCTTAAGCTGCTAAAAACGGCAGGAAGAGGTGTCAGGCAGCAGCCCTGATGCTCCAACCCTGTCTCATGGTGTAGAAGGACTGGCTGTTGACTAATAAGTTCTTGCCACCAAGTGCAAACTTCCCTGGGGCAAAGACAGAGCAGTCCTGAGGGTTAAAACCATTGGAGCCGCACCTGGCATCTCGCTGGAGGCATTGCTGCTGTTCCATTAACTGCCCGCTTCCTTTAATTACGGACCTGCACCCACGTTTGGTCAGGCTGCCAGCTTTCGGGGGCACTTCATCCTCAGACAATGGCCCCCATCTCTTGGCCTGAGGTAATGATACTGCAATAAAAGGGTTGATTATGGTTTAATAACGTTCGGCTAAGCTGTAGAGCAGAAGGATCTGCTCACTTGCTTGGAGAAGGCATGGGAACTGGGATCCTGGAGGGACCCTTTCAAACACAGGCAAAATGGCACAGGCCCACCAATGGTGGAGCTAGCAGAGAGCACTTCATGCACTCCCCAATGGAACCGCCCCACTCTCCTGCAGGGGAGAAAGTATGTCTGTAGGTGGGGAATCTTCACCCTCCACCATTCTTCCTATGCGGGGCAGGACACAATCCATGGCAGCTGAACTGGTAGTGGCCCAAAAGGGGAACTCTTTAGTGTAATTTCCTAGTTAGACCCAAGCCTGTGTGCGTGTATGTGTGTGTGTTTGCCTGTTTAAACATATCCTAGAGATCTCCTGCCATCCCCCCAAAACCTGTCTCCATCCCCCTCTAACTCCTAAAGAGGGAGGCCTCCCTCTGTTCCACAGTAGGAAAGGATGTTTTAGAGCAGCAGCCGTGTTAGTCTGTATTTGCAAAAAGAAAAGGAGTACTTGTGGCACCTTAGAGACTAACCAATTTATTTGAGCATAAGCTTTCGTGAGCTACAGCTCAGAGTCTCTTTGCCTCTAGCCCCTTGAGTTCTCTCAGCCCCTCAGTGTTTCTCCACACCTCCCAAGATCTCATGTCTAGTGGGCAGGAACCAGTGTTTGCCCAGCTGAGGAGCAGGGTGTGTGGGGCACACTTTCACCAAGCAGACAGTGAAGGAGACGCTGTCAAGGCTGGGAAGCCTGACAGAGTGAACTGTGTTGGTTTAGTTTCCAAGCGTCTTTTCTCTGCCTCTAAGTTGGCAAATCCCGGAGATATCCAAGAACCCCATTCTGTGAGCACCCCTGGGAGTGGGATCCTGGTTTGTTCCAGTAACATAGCTGCTCAGAGGAAGGAGCAAACAGGCAGGTTGGGCCAGAAGGACTGTGTGCCATGTACACTCGCTTCTGCCCTCGCAAGTGAAGCTCAAAGCCCTGGCACAGGTAGAGACAAGTGGCCTCGATAAGATGCTGGCATTTCTTTTCTGTTGCCGAAAGGACATTGTGGACCTGACTTCCCATTACTCTGATCTAGTAACGTTTTATACCCATGGATATAAATGACACAGGAGGGGCAGGCAATGGTGAATCAAGCCCTGTGAAGGTAGGTGAAATTCCCCATCTACTCCCCTTCCTTCCTGTTAACTACATCCTAGCTCCCCCTCCTTCAGTGGAACGAGCCACTTGCAGAGGGATCTTCCAGGTATGAGTCCAGGCAAGTGGCAGGAACCACAACAGCTGAGGGTGAGAGCAGGACTGCACCTTTACTAGTTGTAGCCTTGTGCCTGTGGCCTAGCCACTATCTCACTAAGCATTCTCCCTGAGAGCTACCACGGAGCAATTAGGCAGTGCTTGGTTACAGGGTTTTCTCTTTATTATTGTGAGATTATTTCCCCTTTGCTGATTTATAACTTTGCTAAACAACATCAGTTTGCTTCCCTTTCACACGACTCCCTAAAAAACAGAGGTATATTAAGTGACAGTCAGGGCAAATGCGAATGCAGACTCTCACCTTAGCGCAGGTTGCAGAGCCAGGGATCACACCCCAGGAAATAAATCCATCCTAGGGATTAATCAGACTAGCTTCTGTTCCACTTTCAATAAGAACCAGAGCCAGAGCCAGGGCCTGTGGCACCAGCCAGCCAAACAGCCTCCTGGGCAAGAGAGCTGGGTGAAAAATTTAGAGGCAAAAAATGCAGGGAAAACTTGGAAATTGCAATGTTGTTTCTATGTCACAAGATTAAAAGAAAACGGTGGCGGAAAATTTTAAATCAAAATCGTTATCAAAAGGGTTGTCAACATGTTTCATTTACCAGAAAACCA